CAAAATCATTCTGTTTAAAGTAAGGAATATCTTGTTTGAGGAATATGCTTGTGAAGAAGTGAATGGTAATAAACGACAAGCTGAATAGAAGAAATTGGAACAGATGCTGAGCAGAGCAACAAGAATGATTAGGGACTAGAATTTAAACCAGACGAAGAAATATTGAAAGATCTGGGAATGTTGAAATGGGAAAACGGGAAATCACTTTTTTTAATATCTGAGAGGGAGGCACAGAAGAATGCCAGCGGGTTTTCTATTCGTCCAGATGGCAAGACATGAAATATTTATGTTACAAGAAGCCAGGTTGGTTAAATGTTAGGAAAATGTTACTTACAATAAAAGCACTTTGACAATGGAGTTAATTAGATAAATGGAAGGATTTTTTTATATGAATGCTATCACTTTCTGGATGCTTCAGTTTGATTTCCTTGCACAAAATAAAAAGCTGGACTTGATAGCCTGAATTCACCAATTCTAGGACTGAATAGTTCTGTTGATTACAGCTAGTTAGTTAGCTAACAAATGAGTGTAAGAAAAGTACAGGAACATTAATAGGGCTGATATGGAGAATACATAGCTCTTTACTGCAATAGTTTAAAATTTATTATTTAATCTTAATGCTTACTTAAAAGTTTGGAAGTTTGAGCATAGAATATGGCTTTGAAAGCTCTTTACCAAGATAGTTAAATGTCTGTCCAATGCAGTGTTTGTCAACTTTGGCAACTTTAAGATGCATGGATTTCAACTCCCACAATTCCCCAGTCTGTGTGATGCAAAGTGTGAATTTTAATTGATTATATTTGCTCGGGAAAAAATAATAGCCTTGCTTGGCTGGCAACATCTTATTAGAGACATTTATTAAATTTAACAAGCATTTCTATGCCAGTTCTCCTTGCAAAGAATTCTGAACACTGCATCTCACAAGTCAGAGAAGAGAGGCCTATTAATGAAAAATGCTTGCCACTTGTATTATTTATTAGTATTTGTATTCTCTAGAAAACAAAAAAAGTTATAAAATCTGACCTAATGAAAAGGAACATTTTTTTAGCCAAAAAGGAGGGTTTCCCTGCCCATTCAATTAATAGGCTAAAAATCTGCCAATATTTTTATAAAAGATCATTAAAATGTTAACGTATCTAAAAAATGCTTGGAAAAGGTCAACTATCATATAAGAAATAAATCAGGAATAAAACCAACTAAGAATTAAATGTGCACTCTCTGTGTGCAATCTGTAGATGAACAACGCTAATTTTTATCGATACATGGGCAACTCCACAAACTTATGGTGCCACATAGTGAGTGTGGATATAGCTACAAACTCACCATAAAGACTCTTGCTTACCAATTAATCCTTGGTGGAAATTGGCTGGTCCTAATGACTGGCTATTCCATGTGAACAATCTATGTATCTGCCAATGTGCATTCGTTATTTCATTCATGAATTTTTGAACAAATCCTTCCAAGTTAAACGAACCTTATGAATACGAAAGCATATGGGAGTTGGTTGGAGTTTGTTTAATGGATTTTATTAAATAATGGTTGTTTTTTTAAAAATTGTAAGCTGCCTGGAGTCATCTATGTTTGAGTTAGATGGCTATATAAATTTGTTTAATAAATAAAAAAAATAAAACAGAATTGCAAATAGCCAAAGAGTATTTATAGACTGCTGCATTGAATCCATGATGAGTCCAAATCCTTCCCAACTCAGAAATATAAAAATTTAACAATCCTGAATTGTCTCTGCTTGCTTTTACTTAGTTTCAGAATTATGGGCATCTCCCTGATATAGCAAACTTTTTGGGCCCCTGTGCCAAAAATTATGTGCGCGCCAGCACCCAGAAGGCAATGTGTGTGCCCCCCCCATGCCCCCTATGCATGCCCCCACAATCCCCCCTTATCTGCACTGTGCCTCACAGCTGATTTTCAGCAGGTTTGAGGCCTTTTTTGGCCTCCCAGAGGCTTGAGGAAGGCTT